AGTAGGTGGAAGCCAGATATGGATTGCCTTGAATTTTGAAGTTATCTTGATTTTGTAGGGAAGAACTTTTAAAGTCTTGTCTCTCCTCCTTCAGAGGAATAGTAGAATCAGTGCTATAACATTAAAGGGTTGAGGCATTAGCGTTGCCAGTGAAGCGTGGTGGTTTGGAGACACAAAGCTCAGAAGGCAGAGGGCAACCGCATGTTTCCTAGTTGCATCTGTGAATTTGCAGTGGGAACTGTTCGAGTTGATACTGTCAGTCCATATATTTGAAAACTACTGTTTTCTGCCATCTGCAGAGATGTTTTTCAAGTTTATACATAAAATACTTTTAGCTTATAAAGTTGTTCTGTAGCTCACACCCTCAAAGTGGCAGCTCAGATGGTGTCTGCGCTGGTGAAGTGGGTGAAAGGGGAACATTCCCTTGAAAACGACAGGTTCAGTTTTGTCCTGCAGCCCCATGGAGAAACAGGAAGGGTCACTTCAGATGGACAGAGTGGTCCTCACTTAGTACCTACACACTTAGATGCTATTTGAACAGTCACATAGACTCAGTCTGTTAAGTAGGAAGGACCTGTTAATGAATTTCATGTGTGGTATTAGACATATATTTAAGCCTCAGTACATAATTGAGAGTAGTTGAAACCCTGTCCAAGCTGTGACGCACCCCACCACCTTTAATGTTAAAAAATATAAATTTTGTCACTTAGGTACATGAACTGTGTTCTGTGTTTTACATGTGCCCCAAGACGTTTCCTCTTCCCTCAGACAAGGGGGGTGGGGTGGGAAGTACGTTGGCACCACCGGTAGAAAGATCAGCCGTTACACAAATTACATACAGTTGCTGACAGTACACCAATAAACTGCTGCGTTTATTCCAGTTCTACCAAAGCAAAGTCATTTCACTGATTAATGCCTTTATTTTTTTGTATTGATATAGTTTTTTATTTTAAATAGAAAAAAACAGTAAAAATGATGCAGAATTTCAAAACAAGAAAATAGGAAAATAACAGTGGTTGTTATATTGCATATTGTTATCTTCAAAGTAGTTGCTCAGATTACAAAACATATGTATGCAGAACTTATCAAATAATTTAAGTACAAATCATTCTTTTCAATGAACTAATAGAGATTAGTAGTATAATTATTTTTACTACCTTGTGTATATATTTTTTTCTTCCCTCATCCCAGTTGTTCTTTCCTTTTGAGCAGTTTCTGTCCCTTTCACAATGTCTGTTGTACCTTTTGGATTTTATTTACTCTTCCAGTTTCTTACACCAGGGAGACAATACAATGTTTACACATGTGGGTCTGATTTATTTCACTTGTGAGTGTGATCTCTAGTTGCATCCATTTACCTATAAAAGCCTCGAGTTTATCTTCCTTTATAGCTGAGTAGTACTCCATTGTGTAAAAAATCCACATCTTCTTTATCCATTATTCAGTTCATGTGCATTTGGTTTGTTCCCAAGGTTTAACTATTACAAATTGTGGTGCTATAAACATGGGTGTGCATTTATGACTGTGGTGTGACGTCTTTAATTCTTCTGGGAAAATATCTAGAAGGTGAATAGCTGGGTGGAATGGGCCCTCTAATCCTAGTTTTTTAAGGAATCCCCATACTAGTTTCCACTGTGGTTTCACCCATCCACACTCCCACCAACAGTGGAGTAGGGTTCCTTTCTCCCCACAGCCTCTCCAGCACTTATTATTGGTTGATTTCTTGATGATAGCCATTCTTTCTGGAGTGAGATGGAATTTCACTGTTGTTTTAATTTGCATTTCTCGAATGACCAATGATGTTAAACATTTTTTCATGTATTTATTTGCCATTTGTATTTCTTCATCTGAGAAGTATTCATCTCAGATCCCCATTTCTGGGTTGGGTCTCTGACTTTTGGGGGTACGATTTTATTTTTTTTAATTCTTTCTGTGTTCTAAATAGAAGTCCTTTGTCTGAGGGACATTTGCTAAAATTTTTTCCATTTCATGGGTTTTCTTTTCACTCTCTTGGTGATTTCTTTTGATGTGCAAAAACTTGTCAATAACATGAGATCCCAGTTGTTGATTCTTTGAAGTATTTCCCATGCAGTGTGTGTTTTGTTCATGAACTCTCTGCCTACACCTGTGTCTTCAGGATTTCTACCAACTTTCTCTTCCAGTAGAGTGTTTCTGTTTTAGTATTTAGATCTTTGATCCATTTTGACGTTAGTTTAATGCCTGGTGAGAGACATGGGTCTAGTTTCAGCCTTCAGCATGTGGAAAGCCAGTTTTTCCAGCAGCATTTATTCAAGAGGCTGTCTTTCTTCCAGTGAACATGCTTGGTCCCTTTGGCATTGTCTTAGTTACTTTTTTCTCATTACTGGGACAAAAATACCTGATGCCCAAAATTAAGGAAGGAAAGATTTGTTTCGCTTACAGTTTGTGGAGGTTTCAGTCCATACTTGGCAGATCACAAGGCAGAGTGGCACATGGCAGAGGGCTACAGCTTATGTCAGCAGAGCACAGCAAAGCAACCAGCACAAAAGCCAGGAATGGCGGCAAGCAGCCTCTTCCTCTCCCTTACATATGCAAACTATCCACCCCAGGGCGGGTGCAGCTCTCACACCCATAATCAATCAAACTCTAAAAGCTTGCCCCATGACTGCATGAGGCTTTGGGGGGACACCCAGACACAAACCATAACAGTCATAATGCCTTCTTTAGAAAGAAATCTAAGCCAAGCAGTAGTCAATATTCATTAACCCTTAACATATATAAATCGCATGAAGGAATGAGCTAGAACATAAATTTGAAAGCGCCTTTGTTCTAAAAGAGATTCAATCTGTGAATGCTTCATGATGGAGCAGGATGGCATGGATGGAAAATAAGGGAAAAGGCTGTAGATGGCAGTCACCAAGTGAGCGGTTCAGAAGGACCCTGTGACAGTTCAGAGCCAGCAGAAATCTTTTAGGTACTGTGTATCGGTAACAGTATTAAGAAAGCAATTAGAGAATGTGTTATTTGTACTTTAAAGCATATTGATGGTTTCATAAAATTAGGAACCAGTTTCTTAATTTCTTTCGTTTACTGCCCTCCCGGAGAATGAGTTACCTCGCTAACTGTGCTTTGTGGTTTCATCAATGAAACACTCCATTGCCTGTGGCTTCTCCTTATGTAGTTTAGTGGTAATGCGTAAAAAGGTTTGGCTGGGTGTTTTATCACTGTGTCTGATCTCCAGTTACCTAATGCGTGAGAGGAAGTCCTTTTCAGTATCAGTGGATGTTCATGTGTATTGATACACCTTTTCAGATATGTTCTTCATGTCTTGGTTATAAAATTACGACTGGCTTATTGTTAAAGTAGAACCTACAATAAAATATCTCCAGCCTTTTATTTGATTGTTACTGAAATGTTATTAAGTATCTACCTGTGTTAGGTACTTTTTCCTAAAAGAACAAATTATTGCATATAAATCCACATTTCACTTTTGAGAATGAAGTTTAAATTTACTTGTGGTAGAAACATTGAGGGGATTTGACTGCAGGTCTGCTAACGTTGCATGTGCCCCAGCAGCGTGCAAAGAGCTCCGGTTCAGAGTGACTTCAAGTGCCCGTTGTGATCGTGAAAGTTTGTAGTTTGATACGGTGTTGTCAGTCAAAGGCGTTTTTATGCTGAAGGATTTCACTGAATTTTGCAATGATTCATATCAGAAAATGTCTCATCTCTAGCAAAGTTCAGAAAACTTTGCTACATTGTCATTTAGCCCATAGTGAAATACATAATAAGAATTATTTCATTTAAAGGTAATGTTTTGTCCTCATGTAACTACAGTGCATTGAGTATAATGAGAGATTTGAAAAAGAGAACTTGAACTGAAGCGTAGGACTTAGTATTTAAAATAAAACTTTAATAGTATAAAATTAGATTTTGCAGCTTAGAAATCATCTTATTAGGGTGGACATCTAACATTGACAATTTTTAGATGTGTTCCATAAATTTGTTTCCATCTTTATTTTCAGTTGATAGGTGAGGGTGTGACTGTGTCACTTCCGGGTTTTACCGCTTCAGTACCATTTTAGGAATGCAAAGGAGGAAAAGTAATTGGTTGATCCTTGATTGAATTATCTAGGACTGTTAGTTACATTTCGTCAATTTTGCCCCAATAGCAGTCTGCTTTTAAATATTAACTAATAAACGTAGTCAAATGAGGTCTATGATAAAAGTCTCAGAGCTGCTTAAGATCGTCACAGGTATCAGTCTGTCCTTTGACTGCCCTTGCAAAGGGATTCTCTCATTTCCCCCGTTTAATTTGTGCTGAGTTCAGGTTGGAAAAGCAAAGCACAGTGGTTCATTCCCGTAGTGTGACTGAGGACCCTGGAAATCAGAATTTGCTAATTCTCAGTGACTAAGTACTGGCTTTCTTTTGATACCTACATGAGCAGGTTAAGAGTTGTGGTTTGTGGTGCTAACCAACTGAAATTTAATTTTATCTATTCTTTGAGAGCCAGACAAATATCTAGTTATCAGGAGACCTGAAGCTTCAACCTTGAAAGCACAAAAACATTTCTCATAATACTCCTACACTATTATTGCTGGAAGATAGTGTCCCGTTGACCCTAAAGAGATAGCATGTATAATACTTTTATTTAGAAAGAAATGAAATAAGAATCATACCAGTGCTGTTTTTTGCTTCACCTAATCCCTTTTTCATAAAAGCTGATCACATTTGAGAAATTTTGCTGCTTATTTGATTTTTGTATTTATGTAAACCGTAGTGTTAGCTCAGTTATGTTTAAGGATTATTGTATCTTTTCTTCCTGTAACCTGCTAGCTAGTGTTTCAGGTAGTGTTAAGTCAGCCATCACTGTGGTGCTTCTGACTCTTAAATAAATTGTACTACATTTAACTATTTTAAATAAAGTGAAATTACAGGATCGCTCCTAGATTCGTAGAGCTCCTACACCCTCGGAGCCTCCGGAAGTGTCCGCCTCGGAAAGTAACCGCCGCTGTCCTTGCAGGTCTTCTCCAACGGCCACCTGGGAAGCGAAGAGTACGACGTCCCTCCGCGGCTCTCTCCTCCCCCTCCCGCCACTGCCCTGCTCCCCAGCATAAAGTGAGTTCCGTGAATGTGGAGACCGTCTGTCCGCGCGTAACCTGTGCTGAGAGCGCTTTGGGGGCTGGCAGCGCGGAAACTGCAGGGTCCACAGGGAGCGGTCCGTGAGAAAGCAGGCAGTTCAGTGAGACTCAGAAGCCCCGGCACCGGAAGCCAGATGCTCCCAGTTCTTTGCTGGTGACCGCAGCCTCTGTGGGGTCTATCTCGCCCTCTGCGATGACACGTGGGGCATAGGGTAAAAGGCTGAGCAGCCCCTGAGTGCGGGCGGGGAGCTGTCCTCCCAGCTGGCCGCTCCTCGGTCGGTGCCACGCTCTCTCCCCGTGCCTCTGGTGACATCACGGAGGCGTCCTTGCTTGGCGTCCCCCAAGTTCCCTGCGTCCCAGATCCGTGCAGCCCGTGAGTACCGGTGACTGCTCTTTAGCAGTTTTCCGTCTGCGGCTGATCTCCCCGTTGCCCGGCTTTGCATCGTATCTGAATCCTGAGAAAGCCCGATCAGCTTCTCCTTGTCAGAATTAGTATCCGTGAACTTAAAGCTAGAAAATGAGCCCGCCTGAGTGTCTCACTTGAAAAAATGGGGACGTCGTGGCGCAGTGGACAGGCAGGGGACACCTGCCCGAGTTAAACCAGGCTCGAGCCAGTGTCCCACGTGGCCCCTTCCCGCTCATTAAGCCAGCCAGGCTGCCTGCTTTACAGGATTTTGTTTGCTGCGTGGAGCTAATTGACATTCTGCTCTGCACAGGTCTCTTTCCCACTCCAAAGCCAGCATTGCTTTCTCTTTTCTGCTTAATTCACTTTGTATTTACCTGCTAACAAAAAGAATCTCTAGGGTTTTGTCCATGTAAAATACGTTTCCGTGATTCCTCCTATTTGCCCATTCATCGTGTCTGTGTGTTTTCTGGCTTTGTAAGTTTTCCGGGTTACTCCCTCGCTCTGCTTTCTCCAGAACTTCGTGCTAAATGTCTGTGTCTCGGGCTCTACTTTTTATGAAAACGTCTGCGATTTCTTCTGTTTAGTAATTAGGACTGATATGCGTTACTGTTCTTAGTTTGTTTTCTGCTATGTATTGTTTTCTGATTTTAAAACAGTTACAGGGTCTTAAGAACGTAGCTCAGCAGTAGAGCCCTTGACGAGCCTTCCTAAGACCTAGGGTTCAATCCCAGCACTGCAAAGGAAAAAAAAACTTACAAAATCAGGAGCAGCCACTTGTCAATGATCTCCAGTTCTTTGCTGCAGAATTCGTGATTGATGGATTGATCTTATCCGCTAATCCTGAAGCTTTTTTAGCCTCTGTAGGTTACTGAACTCCCACTGTGCATAACACAAGAGGGATAGACTAAGTCTCAGCCCTTGAGGAGTTTTCAGTTGAGAGAATAAAATTAACATAGAGGAAATCGCTAGAGAATACTGAGCATGAAATTGTGCAGTGCTAACTGTTCATTTTGAGTTGGGAGGAGAGGCGGTTAGAGATTTGTAAGCTGAGGGTATGTCAGAGCAGGTGGGAAGGGAAGGAGGCACAGAGGGTGGACTCACTGGCGAAGTCAGTGCGTGAGGAAAAGCCAGTCTGAAGCCTGACGTCATTCAGAGCCAGTGGACGACGCTGCTGATGGGACCTTCCTTAGGGAGAACTTCTCTTGGAACTGTCAGACATGTAGCAGAAACAAGAGCTGGAAGCAGTTACAGGTATCCTGTGTAGCAGACCCTACAGGAGTGAGAACATACTTGTACTCTACGTATATGTAATAAAATATCTAAGCTCAGCTACCTCTATTCAGAGAACTTCACAAACGGAAGTAAATGAAATTTTGCTCATTAGAGAATAAAGGTTTGAATTCTGTTTATTAAGTCTATGTTGGCAAGTGCAATGAGACGTAGAGGTTGCACTTTGCTTCATTAGTGCTTAGAATCAAGTACCTGCTTCTCCTGTAAACAAAACAAGAATAGGAAGATCATAGGGAAGTGTATTTTATTGATGTCTTTCTCATTTTGCACTTTGTAAGAGCATTTAAGATCAGCAGTGTGTTTATACTTCTCATTTACCCCAGATTTTTTTCCTCAAAGACAGTACAGGTGTTTTACTTAAATAGTGAAATATTTTAACAATACCTGCTTAACAGCAAATTAATTTTCCAGCCCTCAGGCTGCATATTAGGCGTAAAGGAGTTGTTGATCTTTATTTTTGACTCTCTGGGCGGTAGTTCCTTATTGTAGAAAATATGTACATAAATTAAAGAAAAAGTAATAACCTTTACCCAAAAAACACGTATGTATATCTTAATATCAGTGTGCAAACATTTCACTATTTTTCATCTAAATTTTTAAACATTTAGATTATAGTGTAGACAGTCATGCCGTTCTTTTTCACTATTACCATAAACATTGTTCTCAGTTGTGCCTACACTGTATTCACTGTAGAAACAGCATGCCATTCTGAAGTGAACAGAAGAAGAAAATCAGATTGGGGTCTAGACTTTAATGCAGTGTTAAATGTATGTCTTCCTTTGAAGAGGGTAACTTCTCTCGGATAGTCACATCCCATTGCTGAAACCAGTATAAGTTGGACTCATGTCCTATTATACTATGTAAATGCTGGATATTATAATAATTATAGTATCATGCTGTATATTATTGGTACTTTGGTAACTTTTAAGAGTATGATCAGAATACAGTGGATGCAGAACCTCAGCTCTGAAGGGTCGTAGAGCAAAGTTCTGAGAAAGAGGTCACTCATTGAAATAGGGGTGTTGATGCTTAAGGCCCATTATCATGTTAGACTCGGTGTGTATTTCAAAATTCAGATGATGCAAAATTATAAATTTCCACCTCACATAAACTTTTGCAGTTCTCAAAATGTTGAAAATCTGAGTACCAAGTTCAAGGATGTCAAAGCTAGTGTTTAGCTTTTTATCTGTACTGTGTTAAACGTATGTAATTATTAAATATTTCACATTAGTCTAATGCCCACAATTTATGATAATCCTTTGTCAATTATTTTATGTATATTCAAAATTACATATTCACTAAGCTATGTTGAAATCATTTATGTTTTCAAACGGAACTCTTAAGTAGTTAAAATATTTATTTTATATCATATAATAGATTGGCAAATAAACAGAGACATCATTTCAGCTAATAATGGAGTAATTGCTTCCAGGTAAAATAATGTTCTTGAATTATGAAAACTATTTCATTAGAATAGTTTTATTATGTTAATCATTTAGATTTGAACCTTCTATACATTTGGCGATACTAGTTGGCTTTCAAATATTTATAAATCAATATTACTTCGTATTTTTGTAAAAAAAATGTTTTTTTGTCGTTTGAGGCAGTGATGTTGATTATTGTCATAAATTCTTCCAAAAAGATTATACTGATACTTTAGTTTCAGTAAGCACAGCATCCAAATTTTGTTCCCCTGTCCTGCTTTCATTCAGTAGCCCTGTTGTCGAGAATGGACAACAAGGGAAACCCTGTCCTCTTTAGAATTTGTGCTCTGAAGGGGAGCAGAATGGATCTAACTGTATTGTATATTGTCAGGTACTGCTGAGTGCTAGGACAGAAACTAAATAGGAGGGGTGTAAATGGCAGAGAGGCCTTTGATTTAGATGAGGTACTTAGGAAAGACCTGTCTGAAAGGGTAACATTCAAGCAGAACCATGAAAGACGCAGGGAGCGAGCTGTGAGGTTATCTGTGTGAAGATCATGCACGCAGGACACACCCAAGTACCAAGCGATTTCACGTTCGCATTTGCACTCAAAGCAGATCAGTGAGGTTTTGTAAGTTTAAACACATTCTTAAAGCTTAAGGGCGTAGCACTGTGATTGTTCTCGATACTGCAAAGAACTTTGGAAAATAGTTTTTAAACGATAAAACTCTCTCTCATGTAGGGAAGAAGTGATTATATGTGCCCAGTGTAACAGTCACTTCTAACACTATGCCATTTTTTGTTTTACCTCTTCTCTACGCAAGTTCCTTGTTAGGATTAGAATAGTGCAGCACAAAAATACGGAATAATATGTAGGTTAAGCTGTGACGATTGTTTTTTAAATCAAAAATTTATATTAACTTTAAATATAACTAATGAGGGGAGACTTAGAGTATATGTAAAAGAAATAAAATGATACATCATATTTACAATGCTCTCTGGCATACACATAATTGACCTCTTACCAGCTTGATCATTTATTTTGCTAATAAGCACTCCATTTTTCTCTACGAGCTTGTCAGTAATCAGCTACATACAAGCACTTGTCCATATCCTGCGAGCCTTGGTTGAGGATCTGTCCTTCAACATTTTCCAGTTCAAAATAAGTAGCAGACAAACGTAATTGAATTTATAGACAATACAACATCACCAAATACACATTTTCTTAATGCACATAACAGAAGATTAATTCAGGTTCAAAGAAAATTATTTAAAATTAGAGGGCTGTATCATGGGAATTTCATGTGTTCACAGTGAAGGTGGAAGTTCCTGCCCCGCCCCCCCAGGAAAGTTGATGGGGTAACTAAGGTGTCAGATAGTGCTCAAGGTTGTGAAAGAAAAGAGTTCGGTAAGAGTGGCGCTTGTGATACAAGTGCTGATGTTAATATAATATACAGAAGGTTCCCCCCGCCCCCAAGAATGTTGAATGCTCTGGCGGAATCCATTTTTGAGCCTCAGTTTTGAAATCTGAAAGTTCCTGACTAGGTGTAGCACTAGAAAATATCACCCCTGTGCCAGAATAAAAATTTACTCTTTGTTTTTGGTTTTACTTCTAGTATGTATACATAGAAAATGAATATGTCTCACAGAAGACTCAAAATAGCTAATGCGAAGTGAATTTAAGAAGATGTGCAGGTCAGGGACAGGGTGGTTTCACAGTGTTTGGAGCGCGTGTCCCAGTGCATTACCAGCGTATGAGCTCTGGAATGGTAGCTGCACTGGGAGTGTGTGATGATAACGTGAAGCTGATGAATAACAGGCATGAATGGTGGGGTGTTTTACTTGGCACTTAATTTGGAACTGACCAAAGAGGATCGGTCCTACTTCATTCCCCTGGCATCCTAAAACGTCTCCACGGGTTAAATCAGTGAGTGAAGTTGTTCCATGTCTCCGAAGTTAGAATTCTTCAATACTACCAAAAGTAGCGTGTATGAAAAGAAACTAAATCTAATTATTTTACCATTTATTTAGTTGCAGGTAAAATCAAACCTACTTTTTGAATGATTTTGTAGAGGGAAAAAATATCCCACATTATTACAAGTAGTGTAATTATTTCCATGAGTTTAGATTTATCTCTGGTATTTTATATACAACTTCATCTTGTACCTTTGTTGTTTTTCTTTTTGTCATATAAACTGCTTCTCTTTCTTTTCAAAACTGGATAGAATCGTTTAATAGAGATGTATACAGTATTGAATAAAATGTGCAGAAATGTTTTCACAAAGTAGCTATTTTTAATCAAAGAATATTATACAATAATTGAATATTTTAAAACGGGAAATAAACCAGAACATTATAATAGTTAAAAATGAAATATCAAAACATATTTTTCATATTTAGGTGCAAAAACCATTTGACTGTTTTCCACTTCTAGCTGTAATTCACCACAGTCCATTTATACTAACAGTCTGTATCTACTAAGTTTAAGCAGTAATCCCCTTATTCCATAAAATATGAGATAAGCTTTTGTATTTTATTCAGAAGTAATCTCTTGGATTAGCAGCAGAACAAAAGAATGAGTGAAATCCACCCCATCAAATTTCTCTATGAATAAGATGAAATTAGAGTTAGGCACAAATACGATTTTAAAACCTGTTCATTCACAACTAATAAAGTATTTCCTTGGAAACTACTAAAGTCTTTGGAGGTAACTTATAATAGACAGATATTAGGACATCCCTGATGCTGATGTGGGTTTTGAGTATTTGATCAAAAGCTTTTTTTTCCTTTGTGTAATATATCCTTGAATTGCATTTTTTTAAGGATACGTTATAAGTAAAAGTATGTTAGGGCATAGAGAGGATATATGTAGTTCTCGTTTCATGTGAGAATGGAACTCATGCTGGCCCTTGAGTTGCTGAGTCGACGCCTGTATTTATAGGAGTGTATGGGAAGTGCTTTAAATCCCTGGTGTATTGTCCGTACATCACCATGGTGTAGCTGACGCACTTACCCACCTCCAGGTGGAAAGGAAATCACCCAAGGATGAACATAGTGGGTATAAACCTTGGTCTTAGCTTGTGGTGTGGGCTTTGACATCAGACCCTGCAGCACTTTAGCACTGTTGATATTGTTTTGCCATTAATGGTCACTAGAATTCTATAGTAGCTCTGACAGGAATTCAAAGATCAGTGTTAAAGAATTCTTCAGAGGGTAAAACGTTTGAAAAATCTCTAGAGGTTTTTCTTTAATCTCTAAACTTTCTAAACTCATTCTTAGATATATGGTTGAAACTCAAAAACCTTTAGGCTTTTCAAAATCTCTTCTTGTAATTAACATAAAGAAAAGCCCATGAAATTGTTTTCATTTTAACTGCAGCTTCGGCATCACTAGTCCAAAAATCTGAAATCCAGAATTCTGTAAAATCGGAAACTTCTCGAGCATCATGTTAGGGATGCCTAAATGGTAATTTTTTACAGATATTCCAAAGTTTGGGAAAAAAATCTGAAACCCGAATCACTACTACTTCAAGGCATTTTGACTATGGAATACTCAATCAAAATGAAAAAGTTAATTTAGGATTGATGATTTTGTATACCAAAGGCCTCTTGCTCCCTCTACAGAAGGTGCTGCAGAATTGCAGTTTTTTTAAATGCAACAGATTTCTCAGGAGATTAACGAAAACATTTGTATTTCCAGGGTCTTGCAAACTAATTGGTTGGGTTTGCGCATTTCTGGGTTAGCATTTTTCATTGGCATCAGCAAGAGTGAAATTCCAGTAGCAACAGCTGTGAAAAATACCAGCTTTCTGCTTGCTTGAGTTTTTTACTTTTATTTACTCAAATGAGTAAGTAAAATACTTGAAAACGTCTTCTGATGTTAGATGATTGGTTCACTCCTTTTAGTTCTCTGACCAGCCTAAGAATTTAAACTGTAAAGTAATGTACACCAAAGACTGACTTAGCAAGGTCCTTTACTGTCTGCTTCTAATTATTCCGTTCATTTTTAATACTTTGTGTTGAAAGGGATAATGTAACGGCTTGAATTATCATTGCACAGGACAGTTAAATCTCAGTGGAATAAAGTGAAGTTCTTTCAGCTAGAGGTGATATTTAGAAGAAACAAAACATTTGACCTTTCCATAAAATCTTTTATTAACGTAAAACTACTGCCATGCATTTTTATAATCTTCCTTTGCCCCGTTTAAGTTAAATTGAAACAAAATGTTATTTTAATAGCTTCCATTTGACTACTTTTATATATTTTTTCTTACAACTCCAAAACCTTTTCATTTTGTTTCACAGGTTACTAATGTTTTTTTCTCATCGTATCATTTAAAATTATAAGAATTCTTTTATCCCAACAAGAAATTCTTAACTAAAGACTGCATAGTCTTTCCATTTGTATTTACTAGAACAGCCCCTCTGATGTTATCTTGTAATTGAAAAATGATAAATGAAAAGTAGTCTTTTGGTTTGAATGTGCCACATCAGACTTTCCTGTTCGAATATGTGTGATGCTTAAACTAGACTGGATTTTCTTTTTCCCTTGGTAGGTGTACTGGTCCATTAGCAAATTCTCTTTCAGAGAAAACAAGAGACCCAGTAGCGGAAGGTGACGATGAATACAAGATTCCTTCATCCCATCCAGTGTCCCCGAATTCACAGCCATCTCATTGTCATAATGTAAACCCTCCTGTTCGGTAAGAACCTGGGCGGCGCCATGCTCACCTGCATACGCATGATCTCTGGTGGGGTCTGTTTGGGTGCCGCTGAGTCAGCTCTTCGGCTAGCCAGCCCTGACTCTCGATGCAGAGGCTCCTCCTCCTCCGTGCTGTCCTCTGCATTGCTTTCACAGGGAACTACGTGCAATGGGACATTTTGTTGTTGTCTTCTAAAAGCTCCGAATTATACTCTGAGAAAGAGGTGGCTATATATTATGTACAATCCTCATGAGTTGTACTTTTTAATAAGGTATTTTAGTGCATTCTGTTCCTTCCAGTCACACACGTCATGAAGAAAGTGAGTGTGGAGAAACTGGTGTTACAAACTTGCTTAGAAGTTTTCTTCATGATATAAAGACCAGGACAGTTTATTTTCATTTCCCTTCTTGACCTGCCACCTGCTTCTGTTCTGTTCTTAAACTAAAACAAAAAGCAAGTTCTCTCTCTGAACTGGTTTTTGATCGAGTTCTGCTTTACCTTCCTTGGTCAGATAAGCGTGTAAGGTAGAATACTTTCTCCCTGTTGCTTGTGGTTCTCAGGCTGATGGCGATATGCTTGCTCTGTGGAGTGGCAGCCGCATTGAGGTATACAAGGGTGATCAATAATGATGCTTGTATACTGAAATACTTTGTCATTAAATAAAAGCATGGTTCTGCATCTGTATAACTGAATTAGTAAACTAATATTTCTATAATTCTTTATCTTACTAACATACGTGAGCCGCTTCCTGATCAGATCTCAGCTTCAGAACCATCTTTCTGAGCTCTTGTTTCCCCAGAGTTGGGGGCAGGGCACCGCGGCTGCCGGTGGCCTCCCGCCCGGCATCTTCTGAGTGTGGGCTATTCTGACTTTGCGGGCCATTTCTTTTCCGGGTCAGATCAGCTGGCTAAAAACACTTCATGAGTGGAGAGTTTCCTTCTTTTCAGATGAAAAGACTAAATGTGTGCTTTTGTTTGGTTTGATACTAGGGATTAAACCTAAGATCTTGAGTACGCTAGGCAAGTAGTCTATCACTGATCCAAGTTCATAGCCCTTTTTAAAATTTTTATTGTGAGACAAGGTCTCACTGAAGTTGCCCAGCCTGGCTCCCGCTTACGACCCTCTTGCCTTAGCCTCCTGGACAGCTAGGCTCGGGTGTGCACCACCGTGCCCAGCTGAACAATGTTCTGGTGCCTGGCAAGTACCTCACTGAGGCAGAAAATGAAATACATACTCGGAAAAGGAAAATATTTGCTCTTAGCAGAGGTCTGACTTAAGAACTGTTGCTGCTTAGAAGTATCCACACTGCAGAATTATGAACCAGGATTGATAAACACTGCAGTCCAGCACTATTTTTTTTCAAAACAAAAACCAACATACTGCTTGCTAATTGCTGGTGTTAAGACGTGTGTTGATAGACGAGTATCACTGAGAAGACCAGCAACTGGGAGGCGATTTGTTGTGTCAGAATAACCAAGGGTCTGCTGATCTGTTAGAGGAAAACTTACTTCTTCTCACCAAATATAAATTGTTACAACTGTTCATCCCTTTGGCTCTTACAAATGCAATTTTTAAAATCTGAAATAGGGTAAGCCCTTGGTCTCCTTGGGAGTCTTTATGTTTTTATTACTGGACAAGTGCAAAGTATAATTATAAAATGTTAAATTTTAATTATCACCTCATAGTGGATGAGATTTTGGTTGCAGGCCTCCTCAATCCTGAAAATAAATTTGAATTATAACCACCATTACCATCTTGCAGCTGTTATAGAGAAGTATTAAATGTTGATCACCCCTGAACTTAATTGGAATGAATTCTTTATCTAATCTTTTTGACAGTCGATGGACATAGTGTCATCTTACGTCTCTAAAGCACTCTTCAGCCCGCACAGCTCCTTTCCCTGGGTGTTTTTCACCCTTTGAAATATCGGGAGAAATAAATTGTCAATATGTGGAAAAAGTGAAATGGTAAATGAATACTTCAGTTCAGTTGCAGTGAAAGAAAAACTCCATCGTTATTACGAAGATTCAGTACATGATAACTATTTTTAAATGAACCGTGTCTGGCCCCGTAAAGAGAAGTGGTCACCGGAGGGACAGGAAATGAATTTCAGATGAAGTAATCTTGCCGTATCTGTTCACATATCCACGGTCTGCTCCGTTATGTATGTCCTCTAACTTTGCTCTCAGAAGTCAGAGTGGCTCAGAGAAGGGTAAAGTAAGCCTCACTCTCTCTCGCTCTTCGTCACACGACTGTTGCAGTGTTGCGTGCCGCAGGCAAAGTACGCTGTCCGTCCGCACCTTCCGTTGCACCTGCCGTCTCCCATGCCCTGATCCTACCCGTTGTGTTCGTGGTGTGGCTCCAGAGTGTCAGCGCCAAAAGCAGCATATGTCCTTTAGTAAATACCATTGCTTTTTACAAACACCGAGGCTTAAATGTTTGTTGTGTGCTCGAGGCCTTCGATCAAGGCGTATCTCTAGAGCGTCAGAGGGCCAGGGTTGACTCGGGCCCGTGCCGAATGTAGGCAGTGTATTGCAGGCTGTGGGTCTTCAAACAGTCCTGGCAGAATTTTAACGGGATTACTGAAAGCTGAATAGTTTTGCCTTTTCATGGGATGTAGTTTATTTTTTTATTAAAAGTCTTCAGTTACATAAATAAAAATATTAAAGCCATCAACAAGTAGGGAAGTCACTGCAAGCGTTGTATATTCTTTGCCTTGGCACTTACTTCTTTTTGACTTGAAAAATTGGGCTAGGTATTAGTTCACCAGAAGTGTCTAAGGTATCAGCAATGTTTGTGGCCCTGGTAATTTTTGGTTTCAGTTTTAAAAATGAGAGAGGAAAACTATTTGTCTTTTACAAGATATTTCCTTCCGATTTTTAAAATAAAGGGAATACCACCCAGATACTATCAGTGGTACTTTTTCCAGAAAAGGGGCTATATTTATTTTCAAACATTACTGTATGTCCAGGGATGCTAGGCGTGCTCTACCTACCTCAACTGAGGGACTTTAAAAGAGACCGTAAAGTGCTGACGCAGTTGCGCCTCTGATTTCTGTTTTAGGTCCTGTGATAATGGCCATTGTATGTTGAATGGAATGCATGGTACGTCTTCCGAGATGAAGAAGTCCCACCTCCCTGAATTAGGCATATATTTAAAGGGTAGGTAGAGAACGTCCTCTCCTTCGTGGTCTACGTTGTAATGGTCAGGATTTAAAGACAAAATTCTGTGCCATTGCTGTACTAACGATACAATAAGGTTTTGTGTCATCCTTTAGGAGATGTTTTTGGTTCAGCCTCTGATCCAGTGCCATTACCAGCTGCCCGGCCCCTGACTCGGGACAGTCCAAAGCCTGGCTCTTCGCTCAACAGGACGCCCTCTGGCTATGACCTTCTCATCCCTCCATTAGGTTAAAACCTTTTAAAAACATTTAAATACCTCCTCCCCACCTCCTGTCTCCATGTCTGCATTATCAGAACCCAGAGGTCAGTCCCTGGCTTTGAGTCTGCCTGGCCTTAGGGTGGGGTCTCCGGCGGACGGTGACTCCCAAGTTCACGTGCCGTTAGACGATTAAAATGCTCACATAGGAAGTGGTTTCTGCGAGTCCTCAAATTATAGGTGGTTTTACGGTATTTTTTATACTTCTGTGTATGACTGATTTTTCTACAATAAAATTCTTTTATAATCAGAACAAAACAGTACGTCGAGATAGATTGGTTAGCTTCTCATTACATAATTCTTTTAAAACTAAAAAAATGACCGTGTAAAAGCTGTCCGTCAGTCAGGGTTGTAGAGAGCTCTCGCTCACATAGTACAGAGCACAGGAGCACGGCCCCCCGCTGCCCTCGTGTTCTCGTAGTTTTGAAACGATGATTTGAAGAAAACGTGTAATAACTAAAGATGAACTTACCTTTATTTCAGCATAAAGTGACCAAGCCTCGCTCATGCTAATTAAATTGTGGAAAATGATACACGTATTTGTAGAAAACTGCAAATAAATTTTGATTTATTCTAATTATTAAAAATACAGTACATCCAAAGAAACTCACTTTGTTTCACATTATAAAGACACAGTATGTATACATGTGAAGGGACAGTCAGGTATGTATCTGTAAAAAATAAGAATTTAAACTTTCAGCCGGATGTCATGGTGCATGGCTGTGATCCCAGCTCTGGGAGGCTGAGGCAGCAGGAGTGTTACAAGTTCAAGGCCAACCTGGGCTGCATAGTGAGTTCAGGGGCAGTCTGAACTGTACAGTGAGACCCTGTCTCAAACAAACAAAAGAAGTCAAAGAATAATAACAATAAATTTTAAAACTTACTACAGTAAAATACACATTGGCATTCAGTTCCTTCACAATACTCCTCCTTTTCCAACACCCTCACCCCATCATTCCTGCTGCTTTCTGAAGCACTTCTGGAAGTCACCTTTTGTGAGTGTAGTTGCGCTGTCGCTGCTGCCTTGGTGTCCTAACCCGATTCGAAACGCTGACCTTTCGTGGTGGTTTTGGTTTCGCGGAGGAGCCAGAAGTCACACGGTGCCAGATGCAGGGAGTAATGTGGCTGAGGACGCACCGGCGTCTTCATAAGCTTGCCTTCCCTTTGGGTTCAGTCACACTTTGTGAAGATACTCACAAAACAACTTCCGGAACCTCTTCAGACAGTGGCAAGAAGCAGGGGCACAGCGCTCAGCAACAGCTCAGCAGCACAGCGCCTGCCTGGCAAGCGCAAGGTCCTGAGTTCGATTCTCAGTACCAAAAACAAAAAAAGAAAGTGGCCAGAACCAGGAAGTAAGTGTGTTTGAAGCGAAGGGCTGGATCTTCAGGAGAGCACTGGCAATGTAATGTGTCTTTTATTATAATAATATTTTTATTGAAACACGCATCATATTTTTTAATCAGCCCTTACATCTTGAAGTTGGCTGATTCCAGTGTCACTGTTAATGTCAGTAGTTTTAAGTAGAAACTTCCTTAATTTTACCAGGCACTCCTATGCCTTCACCTTCTAAAGGATAAGTGCATTTCTGTACGGTTAAGCGAGACTTGGACCTGAACTTTTTTGATGTAAATTTCGCTGTGTGTGGTACCCACCTTTTTGGATAATTCAGATGCATGTTGTAATTTATTGCTTTACTCTGTCCTTCCTCTAGCTTTCTTGTCCATCTAACACTTTGTTCGTAATAGTCACTCAGCTTAGACGACCTTCACGAATAATACACGCTTTGAGCCCCTAATATTCCAGGTTCCCCCTTCGTTAGCTATTCACAGAACGCCGCTCTTCTACATTTCTGTTTCTTCCAATGACTGTGTCTCTTAGGGGACCAAACACTTTCTTTCACCTGTGTCATACCTGTGTGTGGACACTTTCTTCAGCTTCTCTTCAAGGGAATCTGAATTTCTTAAACCAGAGCCTTATGCTTGTGATCTTTGTGTCAGTCAGTTACCTAGTGTAAGGCCTGATATCTAGATTTTGAACACGGTAAAATGACAGCTAGAGGTGGAATGGTAACAAAGCTCTCCTAGATCTTCAAATATTTAAATTGGAAAAATATTTCTGAGGATTAAAGGAAATATTCTGCATGTTTTTGCAAAGGAAGTTCAATGAATGGTGAACCCATTTTTTTAATTTGTCTTTATGCTTAAGTAATTCAATTTAAATACATACAAATTTTTATTACCAGAAGTAGGTGTTATGTGTACCTTGTCTCACTCACTGAATATTTAAGGTTTTGAGAAACTATATTCAGTATTCTTTGCTTTTTTTTAAAGAATCAAAGCTAAAGGAAACTATGCCCAAAATAGGAAGGTGTTACAAGGGGACATAAAAGCACAGTAAATCCCGGTACCGGAGAAAAACAAAAACAAAAACAAAAAAATAGAAAATAAAGCACCGTAAAATGCTCCATACTTATTAAAACTGAGAGATAATCCAATATACGTAATTAGCTTTTCAGACCACAAAAGAGAGATCTATATTTAACAGTTCTTCTTTAGAAGTAACAGTTAAATTTAAAAAATACATTCCTATGCTGCAGGAGCATTTTTGTATATTTTGACAATAAATGTAATATTTGGAACATTCGTTGAAATGAATTAAAATTCAGTGCAAAAACTTTGTGGGCTAATAATCTAAGCTGTTCTTTGACGTGAAATTGTATGTGTGTGGCGTTATTTTCTAGTTACAGGCTGCGAATCCTTTCCGTCGCGCAGAGAGCTCTGGGTTGGTGGTGGGACTGATGATAATTTTTAGTTCAGTACTGCAGTGCACTGATAATACCGAGGTTACAAACAAGCGGCGGTATGACCTGTTCCTTAACTTGCAGCGCTGCTTTTCATACAGACATGGGGGATGGTCACAACTTAAAGGGTGTGTTTGAACATGTGTTTTTCTCCAAACATGCCCGCAAAATAATTAGATCTCATTATCAAAGTCAGTGAACTTCTGGAGAACCCTGGCAGTGAAATTCTTTATAAGTAGCAAGAGAAAGTCACTCACGGCTCTGGCTGGATACTGAGTGTTTCCACTGATGCTGTTTTGCTGCTGACATTGACCTTTCTTTCCATGCAGGTGAAGATGCTTTTGACGCCCTCCCCCCGTCCCTCCCTCCTCCCCCACCTCCTGCAAGGCATAGTCTCATAGAACATTCGAAGCCCCCTGGCTCCAGTAGCCGACCATCCTCAGGACAGGACCTTTTCCTTCTTCCTTCAGGTAGGGGAAAAAGCCAAAGAGATCTGCTCACCTACAGCAAAAGTATTTCTGAAATCATACTGTCATATGCTGGTTTGTGATTCCCGAGCCTCCGCCACCCTAGGAGAAAAGCTTGCATTTGGGTGGGTTCGTTTGTCAATTGATTGATTTAGGGTCCAAAAATATTAAGAAGGTTGCAAAAGCAATAGGGAATCACAGGATTTAGAAACAGGGTAATAGAGATTAACCAGTTCTAATAATACCTTAATTTACCAAAGGCATCCTCAAAAACTAGAGTGGCTAAATGATTGAGCTAAAGGTACAAGAGATAGAATTTAGACCTTTCCTGCCCTTACCAACTCTCATTCTTTTTGTAATAGTTTTACAATTTTACAAGATACACTTTACTGTCATAATTTTACACAAAACAAAGATACTGGTGAAATACATTTTTATAACAAGAATAGAAAGTTTCTCTGAAATATTTCCATTTTATTCCTATTTTTTAATGATTTCTGTATCTCCTCGAATTATTGGTCTTCAAGTATTAAGTAATACATTTTTATGTAAATAACACTTAAGTTTATTGAGTTGTGCAAATAAAATTGAAGACACTTAGTAAGCTGCTTGCGTTAGTCACAGTAAGCAGGACAAAGTTAGAGCATGTATACAGTCAGTTGCGTGGGATCTGCTGAGAGTGAATGTCCTGTCTGTCCTGCTAGTGACGCTGTGACCTGTGCTCTGAAATGCCTTGCCTCCGACATGTGGTTTGGTAAAATGTAAAGTTTAAAAAAATGTGCTTTGTATTTCTGTATAGCATCAGTCATGACAAGTCTTTTAAAACGCTGTTTCTCTTTTGGCTATGTGTGTACCTCAGTGCAAATTCGGGAGTAGTAACCATTGCTGCTTTCCGGAAGTGGCTGTTAGTCTCTCTTAGCATTCACTTTTCACAGTGTTTTTTTTTCCATTGGTGTGCTCATTTAGAAAGTTTGAAGATATTTCAGGAGATGCAAGTTAGGACCGTACAACTGTATATACAGCTTCTGTTTCTCAAAGTGGTTTATTTTTGTGAGTAATCTCCAGTTTCATCAGTACATGTTGAGGCTGCCACTGTCTGACGTACTCCATTTGATGCCGCCTGCCCACACAGAGCTTATGCGTTCACTGCATGCCACCCAGGAGCGAGGCTCCTGACTGCATCCGGTCCAAGCAGAAAGTGCAGCCGGGCCTTACTCTGTGGCTGCACATAAGCTGATACATTTTGCTGAGTTTTCACTTATACTAACTGAAACTTTTGCTTTTACATGTGGACTTCGATTTTTTTAAATGAATAAAGTAATTCTGAGTTACTGAAGCTTTTCTGATGCTAAGTTTTCAGTAGTTTCTGGCTAGATTCCTACGATGTCCTTAGCACTTTTTTTTTTTTCTTTTTTTGGTACTGGGAATCGAACTCATGACCTCAGACTTTCCAGGCAAACGCTTAGGCTGCTGAGCAATATCCCCGGCCCCTTAGCACCTTTTATAGATGTGACATTGTCCCAGTAGATGAAACCTCAGTGAAGTTTCTTTTAACATGAAGTCAGTCTTTCAGTGAGCTAGCAGAGAACATTTTATGCAGATACCCACTTTTGCCTGCTTTTTAAAAAAGAATTACAAAATGTTTTAAATCTTTATCATAATTATATTGCTCATTGACTTACATAAAATCTTCATAAATCACCTCTCAAGATTAATTGCTAAAAAAAGAGTACTTCAAAATGAAATCTCCCCGTGCTGTTGTAGATAAATGGGAGTTATGGAAGTCACTTCATTTCATCTGTACCTTTGCTTCTTTCACTTTTGCTTGGTTGCCAAGGAGCTCAACAAGTCAGGCTGACTTGAGGCCATGAGGCTGGCCGTGTGAGCGGGTCACTGGCTCGCAGCCCCACTTTCTACGTGGGAGTATTGTCATTCCATTCCCAAGAACGTTGATGGTTCCTTGCTATTCACACTTCGAAGAAAAATAGGGAAACCTTTTTCCTTTCCAATCTCTCATGCCATTCACAAGACAAATTTCTAGTCCAGCACCAGATGCTGTGTGACCTTCATTTTAGCAATTACTTTGTCTTTAATTTAAAGTCATACACTAATAGTTACTTTATACAATACTGTCATGGAACATAAAGATTTCCTTTAGCTCAGAAATAAGCATTTGAGTATAACTTTGCAAAAAATTAATATACTATCCAAAGAAGTATAGCTTTCTGACAGCTGTTCTTTAACTTAAAGATTAAACTGCATGAGAGAATGCCTTGTTGCTGCTAGGGTCAGCTCAGTAGGTTTAGAATCTCGAAAGGTAAACAGTGTGATGCTGAACTAGAACCCCGAGCGTTCCGCTGCTACTTCGCACTGCCGTGTGGTCTGTGAAATCTTACTGTAGTGTAAGTGTTTCCTTCATATTACTGGGATTTGGCTTCCTCGAGGAAATAGTTATTCCCAAAGACAAAGGATAGCTGTCTTTTAAAAAGTGGTTGGATTTTCTCATGACAGTGTTAAATTCCTAGTCACACCCGCCCTGACCTTTGTGGTTGCAGCTTTCAGGCGGCAGGGGTGTTTCTGCGGAGCAGCCCCCTGACTCCCGCAGGGCCGTGGACGCGGTCCGTCTCTCGTCGGCTTTGCGTGTCAGGCTTTCCCACGAGAGTTCCTGTGTGGGGCGGAGCAGTGCCCGGGTCGGTGCACGAGCCCTTGCCGCTGGACGTGATGATCGTATCTTAAAACCTGGAGTTCTCAACCCAAGCTTCATGCTTTTCTGTCATTTGTATATTTTGTTCTGTAATACAAAACAGCATTCCTTTGTGCGGTGGGTTGAAGTAGGAACCCAGCTGCCATTTCGTGCCAGGTCTTGCGCTTGAGGAACAAAGCCAGGGCCGGCGTCTTGGCGAGCTTCTCCTCTCCCTGGGTGTCTCTGAGGTGGACAGAGGTTGGTCGGCACGTGTGGCGGCCCTCGCGCCGCCTCTGTCGTGGTCCTCCTCTGAACTGAGACCCTCCGTGGCAGTCCTTATCCGGTCTTACGGTCACACTTCATCTCCCATCAGCTGGCAAAAGGGACTTTACTGAAGGCAAATGAAGGTTTTTCCAGGGGAACCGAGAAATGCAGTGATGTACGTAAAATACAAAGAGAAGCCAGGTCGTTAGGGACAGTTACTGAGAAGATTCAGAGGGTGTTGTTGACGACAGCCTTTCCGATGCATGGTGGGCGTGGCCAGAGGGAGCCCCTGCCGCTGGGCGTGGCACCCACAGAACCGAAATCAGCGGAGTCAGGCTGCAGCGCTGTGCCCGCCTGCGGCCGCTGGGTGCGAAGGGTAAAGGGCGGGCGCAGCGGGGATTCGCAGCTGCAGTCTCCACACACCCCGCGTCTGCTACTGGGAAGGATCTTGTTTGATACGCAAGTTCAGGGCCTTAAATGACACTCAGGGCATAACACCCAGCAGTGTGTGTTTTCACAAGCCCGCTGGCCGTTCGGATGGTGCTTCTATTTTAGATATGCTGGGCTAGGATGTTCCCGAAGGTGTACAACTGGAACGGCAAAGGAAGTTCATACGCACACTGGGAGAACTACAGTGCATTCAAGTAACTCAGGATGTTGAGCCCAAAGATAGTAGAACTGCAGAAAATTCTAATATGTATCTGTGAAAGACAGGTTACATTTCTTTCATATCATCTCAGAAGGTAGAAATAACTCGAGAGGCAGGAGGATTGCCACAAATTCAGAGCTGACCTGGGCTATCTGAACTGCATAGCTGCGCTGTCTTTAAAAAAAAATCGTCGTACCTTGGGTAGTAAGGTCTGAAGCACTAACGGATTGCGGTCCAGGGCTACGTCATTGCTATTGGCGATTTCATGAACATGAGTTAAAGGGTAAAAACAGCGAAACAAAACTTTGTTTCCTAAGTGGCTTTTCAACCCCCTTGCGGCAGTTATATCCTGCACTGGTGTACTCTTTGAAAATCTTCCAAATCATAAATAGCCACAAAATAATGGGCCATTGTTTTAACTGTTCAGTTTTGTCTCTTCTTTTGCACATGAGTAAAAGCTTAGAAGTGCTTCAGGCCACAGTGTTTTTAATCTATATATTTTAATCCTAAACTCGATGTTAAACGTTAATTCTAGAGGAATTTAATTTAGAAAAGCTTTATTGCTTCTCAGATTTCCCTTATTGGAAGACAGTTAGTCCTAATACTCCACGTAGCAGTTGCGTTGTATGTTTTTCCTTCGGAACACAAATTTTTCCCACTTTAAAACTGCTAGTGGTTTAGAACGGAGTCTTAGTCATTGTTGCCATTTATAGTAATAGTTTCAGTGTACCTAGTGCCTTTCTAAGGGAAGGAGCTCAGTGGAGAAGCATAGTATGGTTGTAGTTTGTCTACTTACAGCACTGAAGTATATCCAGAATTTACTTTTTAGCCTTATTGGAGAATTAGAAGTAGACATCTATGTCTAATTCTCCATTAAGGTAAAAACTTAATGGAGACTATTTAAAGCTTTGGAATATTTCAAAATTTATGCAGTAACTACATAGTTGAGTCTTCTGAGAAATCAAAGGTCAGCATTTGTTGCATAGAATTTGACTTATCTGATTCCCTCCTAAAATATTTCAGCAAAATTCACGTGGCTGGTCCATCAAATCTTCCCATGTTGAAAGCTCAGGCCACAACCCAGTGGCACATGCCTGTAATCTCAGCACTCTAGGAGACAGAGACAGGACGATCACAAGTTCAAGTTCAGCCTGGACAGCTTATGCACTCAGCATGACCCCAACCCTAGCTCAAAGCTTGAGTTACTTTAATGCTGAAATTAGTGAGAGCAAGTTAAGTCACCTTGTCCTCAAAGTCCCCAGCAAAGCTGGTGATGACTCCTGCAGTCCAAAGTGAGTAAAATAATAATAACTAATGGTTTTCATCTTGCCTTACATTAGCTGCATAAAAATTAGTATATATTGGGCAATTTTAAACATTTCATTTTCTCCCTAAATTCTCAGACTCGGTGTCAGACTCAAAAGTTAAACAATAAAATAACAGCTATTTTTAATATTTGTAATTGGTTTTGTTAGCAGTTCAACTTTCACTGCTTTGAGAAAAATGGGAATGTGTGCATTTATTTTCAGTAGTTTTAAGAAAACGTTTATTAAGTGGAAGCCGTTTGCCGAGTGGGGTGACGGGTGCTGTGTTTGAGTAGGACGTAGGATTTACACGGCGGGAAGCACGTCCCCCGCTGGAAGCTGTGGCACCTCCGGAAGCCTGCCAGGAGCTGAAGCCGCGGAGAGAGGAATGCGGAGGAGGTGGCGGCCAGAGGACGTACTGGCGAATCCCTGATCTCAGAGATCACACTCACCTCCTCAGGAAGGACTCGGCTCCAGGGGTTTAATCCCACATTCTACTCATTTTAAACCACTTGCGTTTATAGTCCTGACGATTTAGTGCAGCTACACTGAAAACGTCTTTTTCTCTCTCTAGTGCCAGTCAGTAAACATGACTAATAGTAAAATAAGTTTAGTTTATCTGTAATTCATATTTTTCACAATTGCAGACGCCCTATTCCTGATTGCCAAGGTGATAAAAATAATATTTTAATGTACAATAAAACCTTAATGTTAGTGAGGGCACAGTTTTTAGCAAATGACTTTACTCTTCATTGAACTAGCAAACAATCATAATTCTTAGCATAGGCTATCCAGCGTATTAACATTGCTATAAGCACTTTATAGGTGCAGAAGATTTTTAGATGTATAAATTCACTTGATACCCACAAATCCCAAGTTTCAGGTTGGTCTTGCAGATTTTTGTCTGTCTACTGCTTAGAGAGATTAAACGATTTAATACCCTAAAAGGAAAGATTCCAACCCACTATTTTACTTTTTTTTTCAGAGAGCTTCCATTCATAGCAGAGGGTAGATTGGGATAGAAACTATCTTTATCCCAGCAGTTTTATGACTAAATAAGAAATCTAACAAGTATGAATTTTAAAAATGTTACAAGTACAAGCTTACCCAGAAGTAAATGGGCAGAGTACAGTGGAGCAAGTGAATTAGTTTGAAAATACGCATGCAGAGTAGAAAGCGGCTTGTGTGAGTCGTAAGATTGGTTTTCTAATTTCTTTTTGAAAGCTCTAATCTTATAAATGAATCCTAGAATTCTTTTCTTCAGCCAATCAACAGAGATAATCTCTTTAATTTCAAAATTATCTTTCATTTTAAGATCCCTTTTTTGACCCAGCAAGTGGCCAAGTTCCTTTGCCTCCTGCCAGAAGATTACCAGGAGAAAGTGTCAAACCCAGCAGAACATCCCAGGATTACGACCAGCTTCCTTCTTCATCAGGTGAGCGGGCTGTGATAGTACTGCTGACACCTCCTGTCTGGAGAGTGCTCTTTGCTGTTCAGTGTACCTGTTCTTTTTTTTTTCCTGTATAATTTAAAGACTACTGCATGCCTAAGTCAGTATTTATTTTATCACCTTTGCATTTTGCTTGTGAAGTTTCTATGAAAGAAATGCCCACAAAAGTACTTCAGGGAAAAGAGAAAAGCAGGCTTAGTATTATCTTTGATCAGTCAGTACAGCCATATCCATTCACTCAAGATGTATGTATCTGCCTTATTTTGCCTTAACACACTGGGGAAATGGGAAAATCTCTTGACACTGAAGTGTTGTGTTCCCTTACTTTCGCAGTAAGACAGAAACATCTTGAGAGTGATACCAGCACACAGCTAGCGTTAAACAAGCTATTAATTCACGTGGCTTGCCTGGGGCTGCTGCGCAGTGCTCCTATGTCAGCCGTCGAGTAGAATATCCCACTGCAGTAAGCGCAGGTCAGACTCGGGCATTCATAATGAAATGCTGCTGTTCTGCTTCCAGAAGAGTAATAGTGAACAACTTTGTAACTTGTGAATCAGGACACATGATGAGCTTCTTTGAGAGGTGCCAACAGGAGCACTCTTCCTTGATGCTGTGCGTGGGAAATGCAGAATTCCTGCTATAATTCTACCAATTTTACATTTCAGGAAAGCACAGAAAGCATTGTTAATCTTTTCTAATTTTGTTCCGTGTTCTTTTATCACTTTACTTGGAGTACCACAGAGGTTTCGGATATGTCTTTGGGCAACTTATAGTTCTAGTCAATGGTATAACAAGACAAAACTTGAAACCAAGGAAAGAAAATATCTGACAGCCTCCGTACCACATAAGGAAACAACTTCTTTAAGAAACAGTATTAAAATATAACTTTGAGAAAAGTAACATGACCGATTTAAAACATGTTTAGAACCACCAACTCTCGATTAAAAGAAACATATTCAAGTTGTGGGAGGACTTGCAGCCAAAACGCTGTTTTCACAGCTTCTTCATTGTTCGCCCCGTGTATAATATGTGCGTGTTGCAGAGCCCACAGGAGCGTCAGTCACGTGTTGATTTCAGGTTGTGTGAAGGTCAGGTAGCTCTTCGCTAGAAATTTCAGAAAGAGCTGTAACAAACCCTGCTGAAACATCCCCAACTAGCTATTTACCAAAAAAGCCTAAATTACTCTTTACCTAAGTGATAAAACAGTACTGATTATTACTCTGACAGTTTAGAAAAGCTGTAACATCAGCTGAAGTGTTCAACCTACTCCCTAAATTGTTCACGAACAGTTATCTTAGTTACTTTCTCATTGTGGGGACAAAGTAGAAGAGGTTTGCTTTGGCTCAAAGTTTATAGAGGTTTCAGCCCCTGGTCGGCTCGCTCCAAGGCACAGCGGCATGGCGGAGGAGAAACAGCCCGTGGCAGGAGAGCAGGCAGCAGCAAGACTTCCTCCTGCTTTCCCCTTTCATTCCACCTAGGCTGCAAGCCTATTGGTTGGTGCCACCCATACCCAAGGTGGGTCTTCTCTCTTCAGTAAGTCCATCACCCACTCATGGGACTAGCTGTCCAGTGTCACACCCCCGTGACCCTGTATCCTCCCAAACCCCCACCTCTAAGCCAGGAGGCCTTTGGTGGACATCCAGATATAAGCCATAATAGTAAAACCACGGAAAATATGATACTGTGTCTCCAACTTATGTTTGTTCAGGTCCAACTCTGAGGGCTTCCTCGCTGTCCACTAGCTTGTTTCACACCAGTGGAGAGGCTGGTCTGGCCTTCTGGGTTCTTTCTACTCAGAGCTTGGTGCCTTCGGGATTCTCATAACCCTTATTGTGCAGTAACTAAGCTGCTTTTATTAAAGCCTTTAAAAAATTGCCTGATAACCCTACTCGACTGCTGGTGGGAGTGTAAATTGGTGAAACCACTGTGGAAATCAATTTGGAGAGTCCTCACAAAACTAGGATTAGAAGTCCCATTTAACCCAGCTCTTCCCCTTCTGGGTATTTTCCCAGAAGAATTAAAGACATCATACCACAGCAATATATGTGCACCCATGTTTATAGCAGCACAATTTGTTCTAGCTAAATCTTGGAAACAACCCAGATGCCCATCCACTGAGGAATCGATAAAAAAGATTTTTTTTAACATATATAGAATGGAGCACTACCAGCCATAAAGATGGAAAAACTGGAGACTTTTATAGGTAAATGGATGCAACTAGAGACCATACTTATGAGTGAAGTAAATCGGACCTGCATGTATAAACATCGTATTGTCTCCTTGGTGTAGGAACCTGAAAGACTAGGTAAAACTCAAAACGTACATAGATGATAGGAAGGAAAGAAATTGCTCAAAGGAAGGACGACTAGGATGAGGGAAAGAAGGAACGCAAAACATAAATATATATGAACAGCTGCGATGACTGTATTGCTGTTGTCTGATGGTGTGTTGAAATGAACAGTTAATGCTCACAATTTTTTATGTTCTGATCAACTTTGCACGCTTGTGTCTGGTGGTCTGAGCAACTGATTTGAAGAACTACAATGTGAACTCCTACCATCTTGTCTAGTGAAACTCTGTCATCTCTCTAATGTTTTACTGAAGAATTATTTTCTTATTCCCTATAATGGTTTGAGCAATCTTTTATTCTTACATCTGATAATCTGAGCAATGTAGCTGAGGATAGTGATATGCAATGTAACAACCATTGTTGATTTGTATTAATTTGTCTTGAGACCCTGGATCACTTTGAATGTTTTTGCTTTGATTTGTTTATGTTCGTGATATTGGTATGCTGCTACTGTTCTATTTTTTTTTTTTTGTTTTTTTCTCCTGTACTACTCTCTTTAAAATAAAAAAAATTTAAAAATTACCTGATAAGTTTTCTGATAAGATTGCTGCAACACCTTTTAAAGTCATTTTCTTTTGACTTTCATAGCTAACTTTATGACAAGCTGTCTGAGAAAAAGTATTTTATTTTAAAGAATTCAGAAATATAGTTTCATTGACTTTTTAAAAAATCTTCATCATCCTATCCCAAAAGAACGTGCCTATATACTTGCATGTCGACATACACAGTAAGCCCTCAAATATTTTGTTCCTCCCAAAGAAAATATTTCATAATCTACTTGTTTCTTTACATGATGTATCATTGACATTAATTCATGTCTGTAATAGCTATGTATGTTGACACATTTTTCGTTTGCTTCTCTCTTATACATTATGCTACAGTTTAAATTCTTTTTTAAAATGTAATGCTTGTTGTAAAGTGCAGCATTAACTTTAGAGAAGATTTTAGTAGTATTTAGAGGGACGTTCAAGTTCATACTAGAAAACAATGCTCAGATTTTCCGTAACTTGTTTTACATGAGTCAGTAATCAGGAAGAGATCTTATTGCCAGATATGCCAGGAAAATAATGATCACTTTAGGAAAAAAGAGTTAATTCTAACACTAGTTTTCTTCTACTAGCTTAGAGGAAAACTGATAGAATGTTGAAATATTTTATATTCTGACCAATTTTTTATAGTTATATTTGTGAAGATCTCTGTTAGAAATCATGTCTTCACTTCATACAAAGATGACAATTATATAGTGTAGTCATGAGTGCTGAGATATTTTAAAGTAAATTATTTATTTTTAAGACATTTGTTTTGTTTTTTTTCATGATAGGAAATTGTAGGGTTGTTGAATTTTACCACAGTTCAACTACACATAGTACGTTTTAGTTACACTTGAGATTTAAAGGCACAGACTTAGGAGACTTTTTCTTTCCAAATCTAATACTAATATAGCTCTTTCATAACCCTTTTCTGGAAGTATTCAAAATACAGAGTATATAAAGTTTCTCATGTATTTGTTTTGTTTTGTTTCCTTTATTTGTAATTGAATGAATACTATTAAATCCTGCCCTTTTATATTATAAATAGGGCATGTATCAAGGGTAGTAGTAATTCGATCTTATGGCTGAGTGGGTTTTCAGACCAGTTTATAGTAGAATAGTAGAGTGACGGTGCTGTAATGTGTCTGAGATTTCATTTATCTCTTCATCAGTTAAGTTCACACTCTTCTGATCATCAGTTGTCATGTGAGGAAATTAGTAGCCTAGGAGTTTTGAAGTCTATCCCAAGAATTACCACTCACTCACTCAATAACTAGAGATTATGTCTCATATAACATCTGTAATATTAACACTTTTGTGATTGCTTTAGTGTATTTTTTTCGGTGCTGGGGACTAAAGCCAGGGGCTTATACATGCTAGGTATGTACTGTACTATTGAACTATTGAAGCCCTGTACAATATTATTTTATATAATAAAATTTTGAAATTTTTTTAGGCATTTGCTATGGCCAGATGACCTGCTACATATTTGATATACATAGATACATAAAAGATATTTAAACCATTTAATATCTAATATATATATAGTTATATACTAACAAGTACATTTGTTACATTGTAAAAATATGTATTTATAACTACATATCTATATATTGAATATTTTATAAGAATATATGGTTAAAATATATAAATATATTTTCTATATAATTTTAATATGGACTACATTTTATTTCTCATGAACACTCAAATAGATATTATTAATCTTAATTCATAGAAGAGACTAAGGCAGTGAAGGTTTGTAACCTCTCCCACGTCGCATTCAGTAAGCATCAGTCTAATAAGATGCAAATCAGTTCTGTCTTTTGTAATAAGCTCTGCACACATCTGTTTCACTTATTAATAAAGCTTGTGTTGTTGTCCCATCAGCAGCCAGAGTAAGGTTAAATCAGAAAACATCACACGTGTATGATGCTGTTGCTGAACTCGAGCGCAGACCCTTGACGAGGAAAGCGAAGGGAAGTGAGCGCCGTGGGGAGCAGGAGTGGGGGGTGTGAGGACTGGGAAAGGCGCCTGGGGATTTTTCAGCCCGGCTTCTGTGCTTATTCCGTGGCCCTGCGTCATCTCTTGAATGGGTCAAATCTAAC